CGATAGAAAATGTTAAGTTGGCATGTGAATTATTGATTAAAAAACAATTCTATGTTTTTGAGAATCGATACAGTATCACAGAACTTAATATCACGATACTCAAGTGTATCTGGTTTCATGTTGTTTTGCAGTGGAACTTTCCCAGTGCCATGATCACCAGGAAGGTTGGAGCTGCTCTGGCCGCCGGCTGCACGGTGGTTATTAAACCGGCAGAGGACACGCCGCTGTCGGCGCTCGCCCTGGCTGAGGTGGGTGTACCATCAGGGTACAGGTCCTGGAGCTCCGCCTTGTACTAGGGCTGCATGATTAATCACTTTGTGAGCGTGATTTAGATCCCTGTGCAATCTCTGTCTCACGTGACTGATTCTGCTGTGTTTGCATTAGCAGGGAGATGCCTTCCATCAAACCAAGCACTCCCTTTTCCTCACTAAGCTGCATTAACCAATAACCGCAAAGTGGTTTATTTCTGCCTCAACTGCTATTTGGCACTAGGTGCATGGGGCAGGCAAAATAGTTGCAGGATGGAACAGAATATCTTTCACCATGTCAGACATGTTGGATTTGTTTTTGAGCCAGTCTTCTCTTCCTGTCTACAGCTCATCACATGATCTAATGCATTTCTGTTATTGGTTAACAAAGCTTAGCAAGAAAAACGGAGTGCTTGGTTTGAATCATAATAACACAGCGGAGCTGTCACTCATCAATGCTACTTGTGTCACAGCTGCGGGAACTTTAGTCATAACTTCAATCTGGTGGTTAATGGCAGTTGACACGTGGAGGACTGTGGGAAATGGAGTCCTTGTTGAGGCCTGTTTTGACTGTGTGAATGTAATAGTGCCTCTGGCTCCTCTGTGTCAGTAATGTTGAAATGGTCTGATAACAGAAGTACTGCATCATACAGATTATATGAAGACATTTTGGACAACAGGAAATACCTTTCAGTACCTAGCAGTATCAGGTTAGCATTAGTATTATCAGTAGTCTAAAGTATTTTCCTTTTTGTGCTTATTTCCCTGTTATATTTTTGTCTCATTGTCACTTCGGTCACAGAACCAGTGTAATGTATAAACATGAACTGTGGAAACACAGGAACCATCAGTTGTGACAAGTTGAGTACATCCTGTATCCCTGGTGTTTTTATGGCATCAATGACTGGATGTAATTGATGCTTTCTGCATGTTTTGAGAATGAGCAGTGGTATGTAAAGTGACCTCTGTCTGTGCAGCTGGCGGAGCAGGCAGGGATCCCGGCGGGGGTGTTTAATGTGGTGCCTTGCTCTAGGGAGAAGACTCCGTCGGTTGGGGAGGTCCTCTGTACCGACCCCCTGGTGGCCAAAATCTCCTTTACCGGCTCCACTGCCACGGGCAAGGTAACACATTCTCAGCCTGTGTTCTTATGGAGACCTACTGTCCCAGTAAAGTCTGCATTTAGCCCAGTACAATCCAGGTTTCAGAAGTTTTCAAACTGTCACAGCTCCCAGTCTTTATCTGGACTTGCACAAACCTCAAGCCATGTTACGAAAATATGTTTAAAGAAGATATCATGTTCCAGTTTTGGGCTGGTGTTTATCTACCCTGACAAACTGTCTGCTCTTAGGTGCTGCTAAAACTGGCTGCTGACACTGTGAAGAAGGCCTCCATGGAGCTGGGTGGTCATGCGCCCTTCATTGTGTTCGACAGCACTGATGTGGACAAGGCTGTGGCCGGAGCCATGGCCTCAAAGTTCAGAAATGCTGGGCAGGTAACATGAATGTGAATGAAGCCAATAGGGAGACAAGCACAGTCCACTGCTGCACCCTGTCTCCAGAAAACAGACACGTGCTCACGCTCTGAAGACAGACACTGACCAAATTTTGATTTAAATACTTTGCCTCCAGGTTAGTTTATATGTATATACAGTATGTATGAGTTGGTGGTGATGAAACAGTATGTGGTGAAGCAAAAAATATAAATAGAAACAGTGTGTGTAAACACAGGATGCATTCCAGGTAAAGTTAAAAAAAACTATATACATCGACTCAGTGCAAAGTACACAAAATAAAATGCTGAGTCAGTTACTGGCTTTGACACCAAGTCATGAATTCAGACTCCTTCAGCACAAAAAGCCTCAGAGGACAAAAGACTACTGATAGAATTTAAAACATGCCCCAGGCTCCTGCTTAAGAAAACAGTCATTTGACCCAGGCAACAAAATGCTTTACAAGTGCATTTGGTTATTATTGTTTACTAATCTGATGAGTGTTGCTGAGTAAAGAGGAGCGATGCCAGACGCCCACCTGTACATTACACTATGTTCCCCTCCTCTTTCTGCAGACGTGTGTGTGTTCAAACCGGTTTCTGGTTCAGAGCGGTATCTACGATCGCTTCGTGGAGAAGTTGGGCCAAGCGATGGATGCTGAGCTTCGCCTGGGTCATGGCTCAGAGCCTAACACCACCCAGGGGCCGCTCATCAACACCAGAGCTGCAGAGAAGGTAAACGCCATATTTATCAGATAGCTCTGGTCACAGACGGCAGGGCTGTTCATAGGATAGACAAAGCTCTGAGGATGTTTCTAGAAACAGAACCCCTCTGTCAGGTGATGCACCAGATATCAGATGCAGTGTCCCGGGGAGCGAAGCTGCTGAAGGGCGGGAAGCGCCTGCACGGGTCCTTCATGGAGCCGACTCTGCTGGCCGACGTCACCACAGACATGTTGTGTATGAAGGAGGAAACCTTCGGCCCGCTGGTACCCATCCTCAGGTCAGTGCACCGCACAGCAGTGTTCACTCTGTTGTTGATGGCTGATCAGGGGCCGTATCTAAACACTAGGAGCTTCCTCTGGGGAACTGTTTGCAAAGCTGTCAGTAATGAGCCACAGATAGAAACACATAGCTGCCATGTTGAAACAGGGCTCAGTTCAGTAGAAAACACCAGAGCCTGTGCTGCTTTCAGATTTTTGAATGAAAGTGACAAAACCAAACAACAAATGACAGGTTATGGTCTCAGGCTGTCACGGTGGATTTAACCCTACTTTATTCATCTACACTCCACCCACTACACAAGGAAATGAAAGGCTGGTGGTATCGTGCACTGATGAATTAACAGACGGCGAATACCAAACAAGAACAATACTGAACATCAAAACTGAACATACTGCACGTGAACACAGACTTTAGAATGTTCTAAATAGTAGTAGTTGAAGAGAAAATTAACAAAATCGACACGTGTTTGGTTCAGATGAATGTGTTGGCTGAAACATTAACATTGGAGACATTTCAGGGCATGAAGAGGTTTTTATTATGAAAATTCCCATTTTACTTGAGGAAACTCAGATGGTGCCAGTTGTTTTTGTTTTGTTTTCCCCATGCTTGTCATTCCATACCCTGTATATGCACAAGCTTGTAGTGGTACAACACGTTACATCTTCAACTTCAAAGGGGAAAAAACAAGAAGACAAGCTGGAAAAGTCGCTGCTTGTATTCAGGTAGTGAAGAGACTTTTGTTTCTGATTCACAGGTTTAACACAGAAGAAGAGGCTCTGGACATCGCTAACGCGGCTAATGTTGGGCTGGCAGGTGAGTGTGTCTGTCTGGACTCCTGCAGCCTAAACACTCCTGCAATCTCATGTTGAACTACAGTATATGTAAAAGGAATATAAAAACCAAGTTGGGACAGGAATCCAAAGTCAATGTACAGTGTACGCTGGTGGATCTGGGTACAGTTAGACAGAAAAAATAGGTTCAACCAAATAAGGACAAGGAACATTTAAACATCTTGCAGTAACTAAAAGTTGTCTAACAAAAGTAGTGGAGTAAAAAGCATGCAAAAAGTGCAAGTACCTCAGATGTGCACTTGGTTTTATTCTACCACTATTGTCTGTCTCAAACCCCGATGTGCTCTTTCTGTTCTCAGGTTACTTCTACTCGCAGGATGTGAGTCAGATCTGGCGGGTGGCGGAGGCGTTGGAGGTGGGGCTAGTCGGAGTCAACGAGGGCCTGCTATCTACTCCAGAGGCCCCATTTGGTGGTGTCAAAGAGTCAGGTGTGGGCCGTGAGGGCTCCAAGTACGGCATCGATGAGTACCTGGAAGTCAAGTACATGTGCTTCGGAGGCCTCAAACCCTGAACCAGGATGGGGCCACGCCCCCATCCAGTGGTACAGCGCTTGAACAAATGCACTGGTCATTGAATGCAGCTAAAGCTAATGTTAACGACAAGACCACAAATCACCTCTTATAATTAGAAAAGAGCTATGGTCTGTAGTACAGAGGGCTTATTTCTGGTGGTTAAAATATAAACTGACAAATTGGAGTTTGTGAGAATTTATATAGGAACCAGTTCAAATAATTAATCACATATCTGAAGCGTCTGTCTGATCTGGAATTCCTATGTTAAATGGGTTTATTTCCAAAAGCTGTCAGCGGGGCAGTGTTTTCTGTTGCCTGATCAAAATGAACAGGTTGTTTTTAGAATAAGAAAAAATATTGCAGACAGTAATTATTGCTGGAGAGCATTGGTTATAACCGCATTTTGTATTTTTGTCTAAATCTTTAATTGAGGTACTGAAATATGTTCATAGTTGGTCGTAATATATTTTTATGAAATGCAAACCACATTTTTCTAATCAGTCTGTTTGGATGCTCGCTTCTGATTGGCTCGACGGTTTAACGCCAGTATGAAAATAATTGAACCAGCAACCCAAAGTTAGATTTACACTTTATTGTTCACACGTTCAAACAATATTTACTTGTACAAGAAAAAAAATATTTGTCAGTGGTGACTAACTCATCTTGGATACATCCCTAAATCCAGTGAAGTGAACAACGCAGGCGCTAACGTTAAAACAAATTGTATCGTACTATTGCCTAGGAGCAGCAGATCCTGTCACCATGGTAAAAAAAAAATTAAAATCTAAACTGATTTTAAAGATGCACCTGTCAGTGCATTTCTGTATTTAAGTAGAAGAATAAATACCATGAAAATATTATTGTAACGGTTTATAAAGTACCTTGTTACTTTGATAGATTGGTGTTGTGCAGGTTTTGTTTTAAACCTTCATCAGAAAAGCACAAGAAACTGTTAAGTGCCATGTAGCTTCTTACAGTGTTGAACAACAGTGCAGTAATTCTGAATATTTTTAGATTTATTAAGAAATCTAGTTTTGAGCTGGTGAGCTCGGAGATAAAGATGCTGTAATTAATAGATGCCTAACTCACTTTTAGGTGAATTTAATATGGGGCACATTCAAGATTTTCATAATTTAAAAACTTCACTGCAAACTCTCATGTCCACATATGAAAACCAGGGCTTATTTCTCCCAACAGAAGCCTAGTGAAGTTTTTGGTTTTCCTATAGTTTGAGCAGAGTTCAATCACTGGTATTACATGATCCACTGTTGTTCAGTACTGACTGTTGTTTCCATTTATGTTTAATACAAAGTGTTATTGTCGTGCTTGCAATATACTCTGTTAAATTAATATTAAATGTCTTGGTTTTTGTATTTCTGATAATTAATAATGGACAATAAATTATAAAATTTCGGTCAGTCAAGTTGTCGATATTGATGCAGAGATTACTCTGTGTTTAAAGGTTTTGCTCATATAAGAGCCATGCCTTCATCTCTATACTATATACTAAACTTGCACAAGTAAAGCACAATAGATTTAAAAATAACTCGCATATACTGTAAAGTTGTCTAATGCTAACAGATGGTTTAGATAAAGCAGTCATCCTGGTTAAATTTCAGGTCTGTAATTTCAGATTTAGCTTTTATTCTAGTTGGCTTCTGTTATTGGAACTAGGCTAGCAGTTTCCACCTGCCTTCAGTCTTTGTGCTAAGCTAGGCTAAGCCTGTCCTGGACTTGTCTCTGTACTACATGCACAGGGATGAAACCAGCCATCTTCCTCATCTGGCTCTGGAGGAAGTTGATTTCCCAAAATGTCCAAGTCTTTAAGTTGCTAACATTTTGAATGTTCCCACCTGCATGTCCTCAGGTTCTTCAAAGAAGTCTGACCCTGAAGGAGGGGCACTGGGTCATTTTTACTCACAGCACAGGTTTTCTGGGTAGTGAAGTCCTTCACACTTTATAAAAAGTATATCCCTCCTTGCCATCTGGGGCTGCTGGAGTGCTTACATCCCAGAAGAGTCCAGCCTGTCGGCAATCCTGTCATCCAAAGGTGTTTCCATTGCGGGTGATCTGAGCACTGAGCCGGTTCTGGCTGCGGACTGGTCGGTCTTGGCTGAAGATGGCATCCTGGTCACTGTCTAGCTCTGACTCTGACATCATCAGGCTGGAGTTATGCTCAGTGCTGCGGTGTTTGATACCTGCATAAAGACAAAACGGGACACATGGTAACATTTTCCTTTATGTTTTGGATTCTTTTAATGTGTAAGTCCTCAGCTCGCTCTGTTTTCAAAGCGCTAAAAAAATTCCAGCTGTGATTTGATACTTTCATTTAGTTCCATATGTGACTTCACTTGGCAGCATCAAAAATCTTGGTCTTAATTGTCCCCAGTTTGCATACAACTCAAGGTCGTCCTTTCTCAGTTTAGTAACTGCCACTAATGGCTGAAGAACAACTTGCCCACAAGTTATTGTGTTACACCAATAACTTTGCCCATGAACTGAAAGACAGGGGCACAACACACTAAGATCTTTTTTTCTCACGGGCCCTGACTCACCAATCTCTCACCTAAAGGTGCTTTGTTTCCTGCCATGCTGACAACAGAGATGAGATGTGTACCACTATCACAGGGGACCGATGCAATTTCAACATCTGGCTAGAATGCATCTCACCACCCTCTTGTACTGAGACACGTTTCTGTGCACCTCTAATACCTATTGGTTGTATTCACATTAGGCTTCCTCACGTTGTACAGCCATCTGACACATCCTCTGACATGACTCACTGAATTTTGGTCTGAGCTCCACCCTCTCCTGGTCATCCATGTTGTCCAAGATGGTGTACTTGGTCTTCTTCCTCACTTTGGTCTGTCTCCTCCTAAACACAGTGTGATCAGACATGGGTTTGATGTAGCTGTATGAAAAGCTGATTGGGGATCAATATGTAGTCTATAAACACGTTTACCTCTTGCAGCAGCAGATGAAAGTCCAGCTGACAGACAGAATGAAAACCATGAGCATGAAGCTGGTCAGGATGACGTACAGCACCCTCCACTCTGACAGGAAGAGCAGAGTCAGGCCACGATTAACTCCACAAGTTCGATAAAACCTGCTACGGCCAAACGGCTAACTTGTATATGTACAAGGAGAGCAAATATTAGCCACTGTAAAAGTCAGTCAGGCCCATTTCATTTAGGTGAAACAGGAGAAACAGGCAAGGACCGAAAACATTTACTGGCTAAGGATTAATTCTATTACATTTCAATTGATACAGCAAACATTTTTATTAGTCAAATTTACTGACTGATTCAACTGCTATGTCACACAAGATCCAGTTATGTCAGTGGTGCAAATAAATAAATAAAATACATCCTGGCGTCTGAAGTCTGAACACAAACTGAACATTGTCCCCTTCATAAAGGAGAAACGGCTATTTCTAATAAACTGACCACCGTGTGTATATCACAGCAGTTGAATCGGAGTCAGGGAACTTTGCTCTAGGTCGAGTTTAATTGTCTTAAATGTATGTAAAATATTACCTTTCCTGAGCTAAAGTTAATCGGTTTTAAATTTAGGTTAAAAAATAAATGAATAAATAAAAGGCTGTTAATTACCACAGTTGCTCTCTCCGTCACCAAGGTAACGACGGATCAGGTTCTCCGTCCAGAAGGGGTCACAGGCGCACTCATTTGTGACTGGATCACATTGCCCACGGCCCGAACAGTGGAGCAGACACACTGAAAACGAGGACAGACAGATGTCATATTTAAAGGAAGAAATGTCAAAATCAAACTGCTGGTTATAAAAACTGATGCTTCAACAACTCACTCATCATTTCATTCAGACGATTCTTCTTAGATGCAACATTTAGAAGTGGAATCTGTGTTTGTTTGCAGTTCTACTGGCTCAGGGGAAGAAGCTGTTTGTGAGTCTGGTGGTATGTGATTTGATTGATCTGTAATGCTGCCCAGAGGGTAACGGATCAAACAGGTGATGCATGTGAGGAGTCTGTAGTTATGGTTTTTAACCTATTTAGGCAGCGGGATGTGGATATATCCTCCAGGGAGGGCAGAGGGAAGCCAATGATCTACTGTGCTGTGGAGATCAGTCTCAGGAGACCACTTTATTCACTAATTTAAATCCTTCCTCTGGTTGGACAAGCAACTGACAGATCAGAACAGAGCTGTGTTAATCATGTTTAAACATGAATATGGTCAAACAGAAGAAGCTGTGCTAATTATTTTTCATTACTTTAGCAAACAAATGACTACTTGATTGTTTGTGACAATACTTGTCACATTCAAGGATTCTGAAAGTCACCGTTGGGTGTGGCTCTAAATCGAAGACTGAAAGCAAGATTAAATTCCCTACAGAGCAACACGGTTACATCCATGAAGTCAAGGTCAAGTGTTTGTCATATGCACAGTGGGGAAACATGTTTCCCTGTACAATTCTTACTTTGCGTCCACACGAATGCCACACAATATAAGTGAAATATAATGCAGATACATAGGTAACATAAAATCTAAATCTCAAAATCTAAGGCACTGTAAAACAGCCGATGAAAGAAGCATAATGAAGAATATAACAAGAACACAATATAATGAAGAGAGAATGTATGCTACATGGGAGCTATGTGATGAGTTCTCTCCTTCCTCATGTTGAAAATACAAGAACATAACGATGTGAATACTCCTCCTTTGGCTGGTAAACCCCCATTTTACATCAACTGTTTCTGTTTATCTGTGTGCGTGTTCACTGAATGAAGATTCTGCTCTTCCTGAGTCAGCTGCGGATGAGATATCTGCAACTGTGCAGCAGTAATCCAGCACTGCGTGACAAATGTTCTTAGGCATCAGATTATCTTGATATACACTGACCGGCCACTTTATTAGGTACTCCTATACAATTGTATACACATATAAATTCAGAGGTGTTCCTAATATTCTGACCCTCTCATGTATGTAGCTGGGGAAGACACCTTGGAATATAATGTAGACCACCTTTAACTATGACCTCAGTAGTAAACACATAATTGAATTTATACATTTATGACAATTTCACCAACAACTGAAACACGCTGAGCTTCATAAACACAGATGTTAAGGTGGAATTGTTGCATTGAAGTACAGACTGTGGTACAGGTGTGCCTAATAAAGTGGCCAGTGAGTGTATGTGTTCTATTCCAAGGCTTTAAACTGGAGAGCGATGTGACTGAACTCACTGATAGTGTCAACTCTGAGGACTCTGAACAGCAGATAGTCACTCTTCTCTCTGAGCAGCTGGTTCCTCAGCAGACCGACTAATCTGGCGCCAGAGAGAGGCCCCGAGGGGCCCCGCACCAAGAACCGCAACAGGGTGCTGCACAAACACACACAGCAAAAACAGAAACTTGGAAAATTATTATTCTAGATGGAAGAATTGTCAGTCGCTTAGTAAACCAGTCACTTAACCAGTAAACCAGTCAGTACCTGAGGTGCGAGCGTCCCTGCAGCGCTCGGACCTGCACGTCTCTGTCGAGGACGTGCAGCAGAGCGGCGAGCTGTCGGACCACTGTGTCCCTCTGAGCCACGCTGACCTGAGACACTGACACCAGCATCTCCAGCTCCACCTCCTCCGGACCCCCGGGCTCTACGGAGACACAGGAGGGACAAACTTCTCTACCAGGAACAACTGTGCTCATGTCAACAACGGGATTGATATGAATGTACTGTAGTTAAATACATGATAGAATGTATTATAAAACCATTCACATATAACTTATTCTTGAAATCTGGTATTTTTCCTGCAAAAATGAAAATATGGCAAAGGTGATACCAATTTATAAAAATAGTGATAAACAGTTTCTTTACTTCCTAAATATCCCAAAATTTTGGAAAAATGATTTGACAGATTAAATAACCTTATCAATAGACATATCACGTGAGGAACAATATGGATTCAAACTGATCAGCCTCGGTGGCATTACAGGGTTTTACAGAAAACATATAGGATGCAACTGAAAAAAAGGAATATACTATCAGAGTATTACTACAGGAGTATTTATTGATCTAAAGCATTTGACACTATTGATCACAAGTTACTGTTAGAGAAGCTGGAGCGATGTGGTATTACAGGGGTCGCACATTCTTCGGTTAAACATTATTTATATAATAGATTACAATATATTCCACTAAATAATTATTTGTCAGATAAGTTAAAAATTACATGTGGGGTCCCTCAGGGTTTGGTTTTGGGTCCACTGTTTATTTTATATATAAATTAAGTTTGTAAGGTTACTAGTGTGATGAAAGTATTTTGTTTGCAAAAAGTAAGAACAAATGATAAATGGATTTTTTCACTTACTCAGATTCAGATAAATGTGGAATTATCAGTGAAGATATGAAGAGGTGTGACACATTTAGTCAATTTAATAGATTGATAAAAGATAGTCTATTCAATGATGATAACAGAACTTTAATATGTGAATGTAAATTTGTGAATGAATATGTTTATAGTTTTTTTCCTTTTCTTACTTTTGTTTTTCCTCTTTTTTGTTCGATTTTTAATATATCTAAATTGAGATGTTTGAGTACTCTCTAAAATAAAGGGTAGGTAAAATAAGCAGTCACTTCTGCCTACACTGTTTGTATGTGTGTGTGTATATATATATACAGTGGGGAAAATAATTATTTGATCCCCTGCTGATTTTGTAGGTTTGCCCACACACAAAGAAAGTTTAGAAAAATCTATGGCAGGAGCTGAAACTTTGAACTGCCAAACAACAGCCAAGAAACTTTAAGGATTTAGATAAGATCTGTAAAGAAGAGTGGACCAAAATCCCTCCTGAGATGTGCACAAACCTCGTGACCAACTACAAGAAACATTTTACCTCTGTGCTTACTAACAAGGGCTTGTCCACCAAGTACTAATTCATGTTTTGCTTGAGGACCAAATACTTGTTTTACTCACTAAAATGCAACTCAATTTATAACATTTGTATCATGTGCTTTTTTTAGGATCTTTTGTTAATATTCTGTCTCTGTCCTTTAGAATAAACCTATGATAAAAATTATACGCCCTTCATTTATTTGTAAGTGGGCAAACCTACTCAAATAATTTTTCCGCACTGTATATATATTATTTATATAAATATTGGATTTTTTTCTGGTGTGTTTGGGCCAAATCAACTAAACTAAACTAAGCCAAGTAGTTTTCTGTTCTCGTCCTACCTGGTCGGACTTCCACAGTGGCCGTGGCCGTGTTGGAGCGGCCCTGGGCGTCGGTCACTCTCAGCTGGAACAGGTAGGTGCCCTCCACCAGGTTGGCCAGGTACAGGGAGGCCTGAGTGTCCGAGCCATACAGGACGTCCTGCACACAGGTGTTTGTCAGAGGAGTCGTGTGCTGCTTTCAAAGCATTTGGTTAAATCTAATTTGTTTTGTTTTTTTAATCTAATCAAGTGCCATCTATTAGTGTAATCAATAAAATAAAACATAGTGAAGATGAGTGTAGCAAAAGTTACTAATGATCTGTAGGGTCCCCAGTCCCAGGATAAAGATAATTACATTTTTATATCATGAAAATGGTCCTAAAAAATAAACATACAAACCATAAAAACTGTTCAATTTGAGGAAATTACCTAATTTATCTGTAATGAAGAAAATGTTTAAATATGTAACAACTAAATTAATAAAATCAGTCAAGATGATGAAGTCAATACAACCTATGTTTATAACTCATAATATCTAATAACCTTATTCTAAACTACACTAATTGTTTTTGTAATTCTAAAATACTCTAATCTGTATTTAATCTAATTCTAATTTACACTAATCTAAACTCAAAACTTTTCTTATATCACCTGGGTAAACGCTGATCTAATCTCTTCTGTTCTACTCTGATGTCATCTCTAAAACAACTGGATCTAATTTATGATCTATGTAATGTGACTGAATTTAATCCTAATCTGCTCTAATACAATGTAATCCTAGTATACTCAGACATAATCTCCAGTGTAACCTGCTGTAAGTAAAATATAATCTACTCTAATTTCTGTTCTACTCTAACTTAATGGAATCTAAACAAATCTCATGTTCTGTTCTCCACTAATCGACTCTTATTCTAATGCGACCTAATCTAATGTTGCCTAGATTTCCATGCTCTGTACTGACCCCGGCAGCGGGACTCTGGCGGTCTCGGACCCACAGGTAGTGGACCTCGGCCTGGTCTCCTTCAGTGATGGAGCCTCTGAGGATCAGAGAGTTGTTGGGCAGCGTCAGAGTGTGGCTGGGGGTTGTGGGGCAGCGTCAGAGTGGGCCTGCCGCTGGCGTGAATTTCTGGCTGCAGGAGGAAGGCTGCAGGAGGAAGATTTCTGGCTGCAGGAGGAAGGAGAGGAGAACATCTGAATCAGCAGTGGTGTGACTAGTGTTCAGTTCAGTTCTGGGGTTGTAACTATAGAATGTGTTCATTACTGATAAACTTTTTGGTCTACAAAATCTCAGAAAACAATAAAACACATCACAGTGTCCTAGTACAGCAACATACTGAATTCACAACAACACTGGTGACTGTCTCACAATTATGACTTACTGCTTCATGATTATGAGGAAGGTTTCAGAAGCTGCTTGAGAATCCTTTGATTTTTAAGATTTTCTCAGAAGTAATTCAGTGTGAGCTGTCAGTACGTCCCGTGGTACAGAGCAAAAATGAATTGTTAATGCCTAAATCAGCGTACTTATTGTTCCAAAATGTAAACAAATATAGGCATAAAAACAGGGCCCACAGTGTAACTCACTGTATGCAGCAGCATTAAGCTTCTTGGTTCTTGTAAAAGTTTATACCTGTTTTTTTTGTTTTTTTATAATCACATGATCTGAATCTCATCAGAGATTACAGTAGGAAAAGTTCAACAGAAGTTTTGTTGTCAACATAGTATTTTTGCAAAGTGTCACATTAAATGTCCAAAATATTCACTCGTGTGACCTTTTGCCACTGCCAATATGGCGGACGGTGTGGAGCAGGGTGCTGCTGCTCTGAGCCTTAGTCGACCTCGAGTGAAACTGCAGGTCTATAAAACTGTAGATGGTATGCTGGTAGTGGAGGACGAGTTTCTTAACTTTCTTGCGGTTATTATGAGCCGAGGAAAGCAACGCGGAAGGGGACTGCTGACATCATCCAGAACCATGTGGTGACGGGGTCTGTAGGAGCAATGGCTGCGCTCTCCTAATAAAAACATGCGGGTCATCTCTTATAATTGTCGTGGCCTGCATGTTGGAAATACTGCAGCGGATAGAGCGCGACGTCTGGTTGTGGATAACTTGCTGGAAAAATGTGACATACTTTGCCTCCAAGAAACGTTCTTGTCTAAGCAGGATCTAGGTCAGCTGAACTCTGTTAATGATAAATTCTATGGGGCTGGGGAGTCTACAGTAGACCTGACTATGGGTATTGTGAGGGGACGGATAGCAGGGGGTGTGGCTATCCTATGGCATAAAACATTGGACTCGGTGATGAATGTGGTAAGGACTGGGGTCCACTGGTGTATTGCTGTTCATCTGAAGTTGGCTAATAAGGAGTTTGTCATTTTGAATGTCTATATGCCATA